TGTGTACGTACGTACGTACGTACGTACGTACGTACGTACGTACGTACGTACGTGCTTGCGTGCGTGCGTGCGTGCGTGCGTGCGTGCGTGCGTGCGTGCGTGCGTACGTACATACATACATACATACATACATACGTACGTACACACACACACATAAATAAATACATAAATACAAAACCACCGATCACTCATGATTTAGATAACAATGTAACATGTGCATCCATATATGTATATATATATATACTAATATACATATATACGTATATATATATATATATCGCTCTGTCTATCTATCTATCTATATATCTATCTATCTATCTATCCATCTATCTAGCTATCTACCTATTCTATGTATCTATCTCTGTATCAATCTACCTATCTGTCTATCTATCTATCTATCTATCTATCTATCTATCTATCTATCTGTATATATATATATATATATACGTATACGTATACACGTGTATGCAGAATTACTCCCGGTGCAGATATGCATTTGCCTGCCGTTGTGAAAAACTTCAAGGCCCTCACACCTAATCACTCTGTACAGCGCTGCCTGAAGTATGTTGGGTTACTGTCTCTATATAGGGACCATAAAATATTTACCGTGATAGGGCTGAACGGTTAAACGTTAGATGAAAGCTTTTCTGCCGGTCTGCCGCAGCTGTTGCAGCTCATCCACAGCCATCTCTCTTGTTCTGCTGCCAAATTCCATCGCTATGTTGCCGGCTGGGCGCATTCTCATGTGTTCCCGGTTTCCTGTACTCCTCTGTGCCCTGCGGCAGGCACAAGAAGCTGAACATGGAAGCGCAGCGCTGCAGTCACAGGTGTCAAAGTGGACTCAGTGCTGCGTCACACAGGACATTGGGAACATCACAATCAAAAGCCACACTTTCCGTAAAGAGGCATTGGAGATCCTCGGAAACATTACCTACGCTGGTGCTTACGGTTGGAAAGATGGATTCCACATGAAGCCTTATACGGAGGACTGCCTTCATGCCCTGCAACTGGATTATTGTCCGAGCGTGCAAAAGACTCTGCTCGATCATTACGGATACAATAATTTAAAAGGCCACGCCTACGTCATAGAGATGACCAGAGTGATCGAGATGAGCCACGCCTTCGTCGCCAAGTACCATTTTAAGAGGGAGTCTTATTGGTTGCGTGCGCCAGCATGTCCTGATGGCATGGAATCAGCCACAGATGCGCACCGATGCACACAGGCTCTAGAGTATTTCTCGCGGTTCTTGCGCCAACACTATCGATAGGGCGCGATGCAGAGTTAGATTCCGCCTGGCGGAAACAAAGGCTGGCGGGGCTGCTTGCAGCAGCATTTAGGGTTTAGGGTTTAGGGTTTAGGGTTCACCATCAATCCAACTATAAAACTTGGGAGACAGTTAACCATAGACACCCACAACGTCCGAGCACCACTTCAGAAATTGTCGTAGGCCCCGAGGTTGCCCAGATATGCCAATACTCCTTAGTTCAGGAACATTCCTACAGCCAGAAGAGGAGACCCTCTATGATCCATAGCATAGTCTGAAAAACAGGGGTCCCAAACATTCCACAATCCCACAGTTCAGGAACATACTTTAAATCATAATCGGATCCCAAGTAGGGCTTAAATAATTGCCAAAGCTTTTTACTTATAGTATAACAGGCCCCAAAACCCTATCCTAATGAAGGGCATAGCCCTTATAGAACCCTGTAAGGGTTCGGCCCCTACGTTAGTTAAAGAAGGCTTGGGAAGATCAGGGGTTTTGGACTCCTGTGAGCAAATGAGCTTGGAGCCTTCGGCCATGAAGTCGCTAGTATCAGTTTCGGGTTTAGGGTGGGCGGTGGTATGGTAGAGTTCTCTAATAGGATGAGGACGAAGATCTTGAATCTAAGATAGTTCGTACCTGATGAACACGAGCATCTTCTGACGAAGATTGCTGGTACCTGTTTGAAGATCTGAAGATGAGGCTGGCGGTGTTGGGTTGTTGCTGATTTCTCGCATGTTGAGCAAGTTCAAGTGTTTACATGATGCGAAACCGTAAATTTCTAACCCTAACCCCCAAACCCTAAATCCTAAACCATGATAACTGTTGAAGACTTGTCTCATCACGCTGATGATGGAAGCATTGAGCCTTTCCCTGGCATTAAAGGGTTTAGGGCTTAGAGCCCCCACTCAGGAGACAATTACAAACCCGTCGCCAGCAACAGCGGTCGTGGGCGTCTTGACTTTGGTGCCCCTTGACCAGAATTGGCTCGGCTTCCGAAGGTTTCATGGAGCTCTATGGATGTTTATAGGGGGCTCACTGGGTTTCTACCGTTCCATATGGTTGTCTTGGGTTCTATGCGTTTCGTCAGTTCGGCAGGTTAATTTTGGACACCAAGTTGGGTAATATTGAGGCCGTAATATTTAGAATACGGTTTCATAGGGTTCCTTTAAAGGGTTCTGAGGGCTAATATGAGGGTTTAGGGTTTAGGGGCCTTAATAATTAGAATAAGGGTTTGGGGGAATATCTATAATTATCATGAGGCAACCAAAACCTATTCCAATTATTAAGGCCCCTGCATTAAGTGGCCATGGGGCCTAGGTCAAGATCCACAGCAGACTTCTTCAGTTCTTCCTCCCAGATCTGCGGCGTGCACTTGTCTTGCTGGCTTCTAGAAATCCACCCTGAACCCGAAACCCTACATAAACCCTGGAAGCCATAATCTTTCCCTAAACCCTAAACCCCAAACCTTAAACCCTAAGTCCTAAACCTTAAACCCTACACCTTAAACCCTAAACCCCAAACCCTGAACCCTGAACCCTAAACCCTAAACCCCAGCCCTTAAACCCGCAAAGCCCCAAGAGCCGACAGCCCCCAACCCTAAGCCATAAGTAGGCAACGAGGATCTTCAGATGAAACCCTCAATTGCTGCTACATCCGAGTCCAGACTTTGGACCGAAGTTGTATCGGTAGTTCTCGAACTCATGATCCCTGCTAGGGCCCTGATTTTATAAGGGTGCCGTACTATTGTTGGGACATGAGAGAGGACCCCTACATGGGAAGAAGAAGTCTGAGAGCCAATGGTTTCAACTTGCCGTCCTGAACTCTGAGTACGTAGTTCTTGCCCTCCTGCCTGCACAGCCTTTAGAGATTTGGGCAACACATGCCGGGTGGCTTCAGGCTTTAGTGTTTTGGTGGAGTTTTCGGAGTTTCGGCTTTAGGACCCGTCTGGGGCCTCGTTTGCAAAATCCCTGGATTCTCAGCGGATCCGCAGTCTTGCGAAGCCCGAAGCGTAACAACCACAGTGGAACGCCCAAAAGGCGTCCCACATTAGGGGTCTTAATCGTTCGAAAAGATTTTGGATGGTATCTGCGGTAACTATGTTTTCTAGCCCATAGCATATCTACACGCAGGAACCTTCATGAGTACTATTACTATTGGAAATTATTCGGGCTCCCACATTACCAGCATACAGTTCAACATGGGCTTTTCTGAAAGGTTTCAACCTTGGCTTGCTTTAACGCGTCTAGAGGGCTGCTCCCGCCGCACACCAAGAATTCCAGAAACTCCTTATTTCCGAAAGCTCGAGTCCGTTTTCTAGCAAGCAATGCTTTACTCGTGTGTTGCGTTTGGTAAAGTCTCTGGGCTTGATTTCCTTTTTTCGCGTTTTTGTTCGCCGAAAGCTTGAATGTGTCACTGCGTTGTGAATGCTTTCCGAATAACAGGCTTCTGAACTCGTAAACCCTAATCCCTGAACCATACTACTCTACCCAGTCCCTACACTCCAAACCCCAATCCCCAAAACACAAAGAGCCCCAAATTCCTAGACGAACTCCAGAACTCCGAAACTCTAATATAAAAGCCTAAATAAAAATAATTACCGAGATTAATTTGGGGATTCCTTATTATAATTATAGTATAAAGGGCCCCAAACCCTGTTCTAATTGTCTAATTAATTATTAAGGCCCCTACAGTAAAAGAACTCCAGAACTCCGAAACTGTAAAATCCTAAAAACTCTAAACCCTAAGCCCCTAAGCCCCTAAACCCCTAAACCCTAAACCCCTCAATTCCAGAACTCCGCAACTCTAAGCCGGAGACCCCAAGAAACCTTGACCGCCCGGACTCGCATACGGTTTGGGGTTCCCCAAGGGGTCCGTGTACCCAAATGGTTTAGGGTTTAGGGGTTTAGGGTTTAGGGTTTAGGGCCTCAGAGGAGTCCCTATTTAGGTACTTTGGTGCAAACATACATATTATTTGGGTACATGGACCCGGGTTTAGGGGTTAATAAAACCCCAAACCCTAAACCCTAAACCCCTAAACCGTCTTCAGTAATTACCAATACTACTCCTTAGGGTCCCTTATTATAATTACAGCCTTAAAGAGCCCAAAACAATGTTCTAATCATTAAGGCCCCCAAAACCCTACACCCTTACAGCATAACCCTACATACTATTTGGGTACCACCCTAGACCCTAAACCCTAAACCAGGGGTTTAGGGTATTTTTAGGCGCCCTGTTCCCACCAGGATCGTTTACGTTCTCACGCGCGAGGAAAAGGTGGGGTCTGATGAACCCCCAAAATCGATCCCAAGATCCTAAACCCTAATATAGGGGCCTTATTCTCAGCTTTGGAGTACCATAGTTTAATACTTTTTGGGGGACCTGTTCCTTAGAGGAAGCATTATGACATAAAAGTCTATACTTTTTTCTGCCTGGTTACTTCAAAGCCGTGTAGCAGATGTCAAGGACATTTATCTGAGATTGATCTCATAGGGCCGGGGCTCTAGGGTATTTTGAGGTTTTAGGGTTTCAGGGCTTGGGGGGTTAGGGCTTAGGCTTTAGGGCTTATCTGCCGGGACTTCAGTGACCTCTTTGTGTTTCTTTGCTTCAGGATCTGTATGAACCCTAAACCCCTAAACCCTAGACCCCTAAACCCTAAACCCCTAAACCCCAAATCCCCTAAACCCCTAAACCCATAAACCCTAAAACCCTAAAACCCCTAAACCCTAAAACCCTTATAAACATTAAGCCCTAAAGCCCCTAAATCCTAAACCTTAAGCCCTAAACAGGATGGTCCACATGTGAGGGACTTTTGAGAGTCAATCTGCGAGGGGTCTGCCATTGGATGGATGGGGCGGATGGGTAAACGTGCTTTTGGGGGTTCCAAGGTTGACTGTAATGTCCAATGTAGAAGACAAAATAATTGGGTTAAGGGTTTAGGGTTTAGGGATTACCTATATTATTTTGGGGGTTCCTTAGGTTCTGCAGGGTTTCGGCTGTGCCACCGGAGCTTCTACAAATAGCACTATATTACTCTTCAAAACTTTGCACCAACGCCCATGTACTTACTTATCATGTTGATCCCAAGAACAATGTGTAAGGAGGTTCGTAGAATCTTACAGACCTACATAACCCGGTTTTGACGAGAACCCTGGGTTCAGCACAGCTCCGGCAGAACCTCAGCCCTAAATCTGTTGAATGGTTAGTACTTGCACTGAAACCCCAAGCGCAATAGCAGTGAATGCGAAACGGCGTAGAGATTGCCCGCAAACGCCAGGCCAGAAAGGGCAAAGTCTGTCCGCGGCTGAGCTGGTGGATCCATCACTGTCATCGGCATCGCCACCTCTGCATCATCGCCGTGCTTAGGACTTTATTGTTCTCAAAAATTCTTCTTCTTCTTCATCATCATCTTCATAATCATCATCATCATCCCGATGCTATTTAACTTGAAGCCTAAACTCTAAACCCTAAACCCTAAACCCTAAACCCTAAACCCTAAACCCTTGCCCTGAAGGCCCCAACCCCTGAAGCATAGACAAAAAGACCCTCTCAGATCTGTTGTCTCGCGATTCCGTCCAAAGACAACCCGAAAGCCTGCAAGTGAGAAGCTTAAATCGAACCGGTGTTTTCTTTCGATAAGTTTAGTGGTATAATGGTGGCTTGACTTGGAATAACCCCACCCCCTTAACAGATTTCAGGAGAATGATTATTGTGGGGTTCCGAGGCTATGCTCTCTGCGACTCTCCAAGCGCTGTCAAAACGGCCTCAAGTGTTCGGTTAAACCGGGGTTCAGGGTTTAGGGTTTAGGGTTCAGGGGGAACCATGGACGGGATGTTTATTGAGTTCGCGGGATCGGGCGTCATAGTTGCGGACGAGGGGGGAGTTGATAATTGAGTTCTGGGAGCCGAGATTAATATTTCCGGGAGGATTATGAACATGAAGTCTGGTATATTACTCAAATACAGGTTTTTTGGTTTTCCTGGCCTGTAGAGCTGCATTATCGCAAG